TAAGTTCACAAGGTATACAATTAATGCAAGAACTTTGTTTAACATTCAGATTCTTTACAGATTTCAAATTAATCCTAATTATTACAATTACCCCAAGTTAGTGTTAGTTAGACACTAATACGTATGACAGTAACATCATAAACAAATGTTAAATTATCATCCAGCCGAAATAGAAAGAGGTGAACGAAATCAGACTGCTGTTACTGTAGCGCTGACTGCACAGGATAGGGCTCTTTGTCGCAATCCACCGCCTCTGATGTTTAGTGAAAAAAAATTTGTTTTTGTGTCACTTCCTCTGTTAGTTTCTCTCGCTCCTTGCAAATAAATCCTGAAGGAATTCTGAAGTTCCTATTTTTGCTATCTTGTTCCATCAGAGTTAACTTTTGAGCCAAATACACCAAACCAAAGGACTGAATTAGCCCAGTTTGAGAAAAATAAGCGTGTCTGTTAGGTGCCCTGAAACCTGATCTACTTAGTCTATGACCTTAGATCAACAACTTTACTGACAATATACACAGACATGTCTTCTTTCAGACTTTGAGCTCAAACTTTTTCTTTCACCAGAAGGTCTCTGCCCTGCCTGATATCAACAAGCTGTGAGATGAGCCGCAGCAGACTGACAGGTAGACACATCAACAGCTTGTGTCATTAATATTGAAGCCCTCTCTGCCGGCCTCGGGTCATGCCGAGATCTTACACAAGGTGAGCATCTCATTACGCCTGCAGGTCATAATCATGAGGCCAAATCTGGTATTAGCTGATTCATAATTTACATCGTGCGAGGAGGCTGCAAGTGTTCACTCAGGTGCAGCTGCTGAGCTGCTGTATTCCCTTGAAAAGGAATCCATTATGTAGAAAAAAATGATCAATATGCCCAGCAGGACCAAAATAAGACCCTTACAAACAATATTCAATCAATCCTGTAAGGAAAAAAGTATAACAATAACATATAACCTGCTTCCAACAACTCAGATAGCAACAATAAACCACAAAGTTGATGAGTTTTGATTAGTAGGATATATAAAAAATACATTAAAGAAAATGTGTAACATCTGGACACTGTGGGTTGTAAATGAGTGTGTGAGAACTAGTTACCAAGTGAACAAGCTAAGCTAAAGTTAAAATGAATAAATAGTTCAAATAATAAGCCATAATTATTGTAAATGGTTGAAATATTGGCTATAAAAATAATGGATAAATAATTGCAACAGTTGCTAACTGATAAACCATTGAATAGATGGCTGAAAGGGAAGCAAATAATTGAAACAGCCAGTTGAAATAGTTAGCTACAAATAATTGAGAAATTGTTAAGATAGATAGCTAAAAGCAGTGATAGAACCGTTTGTATGAAATAGAGGTTGAAATGGTTAAAATAATAATATAGGTAACAGTTTAAATAAAACTAATGGATAAATGGTTCAAATAAAATAGCTAAAGAATAATTAAATAGTTCAAAGCAAAGAATACAAAGCTGAAGTAGTTAGCTAATAGTAATGGATAAATGGTTAAAACATGTAGTTTCTGCCCGTACAAGTGGTAGTAATAGCCTACCCAAAATTGATCAAACCAACCCCAATTCAGTGGCATGACAACAGTATTGTAACTACTGTAGCAATATAGTTTAGAGAATATTAGATCAGAGATGAAACTGAAACTGACAGAAGGGCAGGAAGTCACAATTACAAATCCGCCTGCTGCTTCAGCACCACGGACAGCGTCATTAATTACCTGCAAACACTACTTAATCCAGCTTTGTCTGGAGAAAACAATGCCTTGTTGTTGTTTTTCTGGCTCTTCCTCCAGCACGGTTTCAGGCCTGAGAAGAAACAAGACTGGAAACATGTTGTGACCATAATCGCAGGTTTAGCAGCTCGTAACTCACAGCACAGTCACTTCAGGGAGGGAGGGAAAGAGAGGAGCAAGATGATGAAGTCAAAGTTTATTATGTTCCCACATGGCTGATGCAGCATATTCGGAGCACGGTAATTCATCAATGTCAGGTGCTTGTGGAGAGCGGCTAATAGCTGTATCAGTGTAACTCACACATTCTTATCTCTAGACTGTAAACTCATTGTGCTGATGTTTTTTTGTTCGCCACGAGTATGTATGTACGAGTAAGCTATTCACGTAATGGATGAAAACCTAAAATAGCTGCATGACTTAAATTAAATATGATTTTACACAACAAACTTCCATTTTCATTTCATCAAGAGACGTGAACTGAGAATACCTCGAATAGCACGTTCATACACAGGGACAGGAAAGTTTGGAGTGTGGCTTGAGAGGGGGGAGAGAGAGAGAGAGAGAGAGAGAGAGAGAGAGAGAGAGAGAGAGAGAGAAAGATGAATACAGGGGAATGGATGGCAGATTAATAATGTCTGTCGGCCAACAAAGGGAGCCCTGGAGGATCTCTTACCTTGATGTGAGCTAGAATTAACTGTAGAAACACACAGAGACACAAACAAAGAGAGGAATGGGCTTGCAGAGTTCATAACTCCTTGAGGGGGGACTTTTAAAGGGTTTCTTTTTTGCTGACTTTGAGAGTTTCCCCACTCCATTAAAAAGTCCGATTAACTTTTCCCAAATTTAAAGGATCTCTTACTATCAAATCTCCCTGAAGTCTCCTCATTGGGTTATTTTTGACTCGAGTTAGGACATTTTTTCACTCAGGATTACCTTGCACATAGTGCAGGATTCAACATCTTTCTTTCTGCCTTCAAGGTCCAGACCTGATACTTTCTGTTGTTCTTCTCCAAAGTCAAGACAGAGGTAGTAAATAAAACAAAGTAAATAAAAAAGAATAAATGCCACCATTTGAAGATCTGGGGATGCTAACTTTGAAAGAAGAAATAACACATTCTTCTTCTTACAAATGAAAAGCTGAATTTAAAGCTAATAAAACACATCCTTGCTTATTTCAGTAAACTTGGGGGGTTTGCTGCTACTTGGTCTGGTATAACCATTAGCTTATGGTGGCTAACGTTAGCTACAGTACTGTTAAAAATGTTGTAAAAAACATTGTGTGTACCCATAGGTTTCTGAAGAACCGTTGTGATCCTCAGTGTAGTCAGCTCGGGCTGCCACCAACTGGGCTAGTCCTGACTCCGCCGGCTCCAGGCTAATTCGAGCTGCAGTTTTTGGCACTTCTATGTTGGCTTCATTTTTCAGCTCAGGAGATTACTGAGTCAGTTTGTTAACTTTATGACTCTTCTCTTCTACTGCTGCTATTGCACTACGTTGTTGCATTCACCATTATCCTGTAATTGCTACAGAGAAAGTTACATAGATTTTAAAGTCTGTGCTTCTCAGGATGATGAATGCATGTACGTGTGATGCATGTAAACTAATGGGAAATGCAGTTAGCCCACTATTTCCACTGTCCCACTATTAGAGATAAAGAAATAGGTTGCTGCATTTGCTTTACTTGACTTTATCTAATGAGCCATACATCATTGTGTCCATTCATGATACCAGCAGGTCCTAATATGATTGAACTAGAGGTGGGGGGAGTTGGGAGTTTTGTGGAGTTTAAATGGGAGCTGCACCGAACTGACACATAAATATCAGAATACAACTCGATGTGTGAAAATAATTATATAATGTCCTCTGAACTCTGCAGGAGCTTTGTCAAGTCTAAAAAAATAACTCCTGATGATGTCATCCGAGGTTATCTTGGTTTCGACTAGAAGACAAAACATTTTTATCAGAATTACAAAGTACATGCATTGAGTTTGAAAGACAGGTGTATTTACTCAGCAGGGAAAGATTCTATTGTTTATGTTAACTTGCATTATGGGATATGTATTATTTGATGCCTGGTACGCACTAGGGACTAAAAGTCAGGATATCTCTTCTGCTGCTTCCATTTTGACCATTCTTTTGTTAATCTGTCTCTCTGAAACATAGGAAGTATGGCAGGGTAATACTACAATGCTGGAGAGTCACTTTAACAGAATAACATTTTCACAAGTGACAAAAAAATCATTTTAAAAGAAAGATTATTGTTTTGTCCAAAAGAAATTAAATCAATAAAAGTTAATTTTTTTTCACAGGTTTTTTCACAGGGAGGTCAGAGGTCAAACTCACAGCCACAAAGCAGTACATCTGAAACTGGCGGATGTTCAGTGTTTTGCTAAAGGACACTTCAGCATGATGAATGGGAGTTTAACTATATCACGAGTAGTTTCTGCAAGCAACATGTAGCTGCTAAAAACAAGCACCTGTCCTTGATTCTATTTTTAGTCAGTGAAAATGGTTCCTCTATAAAATCTGGCCAGTCATCTTTTATGTCACCAAATTTGCAGCTTTCACCCTGAGCTGTTAGCAGGCATTTAGCAAACCAGATATCCTGCAAATGGATGCTTCTACTGCCATCACTACTGTTTACTTTGGCATCAATCAGACTCCTGCAATTATTGTCTCTCTGCTGTCTCCCATTTTGAATGCACTCAGCTGAGCTGACGTTGTGTTGACAGAGTGGCCTGAAATTAAAGAGAAACTCCAGCCAGCAGGCTTTCAACTAGTGGCCTACTGCTGGTCTGCTAAGCCACACCTACTGTATCAGCTGGCTGCCTTTGATTCTCAGTCCAGTGTGGTGGATGCCTCAGCCACAATGTTAACCACACAAACAAACTGTGCCATGTCCTAATCTATTAGATTGCAGTATCCCAGATGTGAATCTGTAGCCTATATTTGAATACAATTACATTATAGGAAAACTCTGCTGAGCTAAAATGATAGTTAAATGACCTACATAAGCATCAGTTATGTGTGACTGATGAAACTGAAACTTTACAACTCAGAAATATTTTTATAAGCAGGTTTTGGTGCCAGATGAGGATAATACACTCAATTATGCACAAGGCAAGAAATAAATAATTAGAGTCCATGCGTATCTCATAACAGTGAGGAGACATGCATAACAAACACTCCCCCTGACGCTGTGAGATTGTACTGAAGCAGTTCGTGGTTTCCCAGAGACGCAGTTTGGCAGAGCGCAGCGCACCGCGGAGCGCGCAGCTCCGGACGCACCTGAACAGTCCAGTGAGCTGGAAACCGCCTTTCACCTGCTCCGAGCCGCACACACACTCCTCTGCAACATCTGCCACGTCGTCTCTGATGGAGACAGAGGGACAGTGTAACGGAGTCTTTGTGGATGTTGAGTAACATGTCTACCCCCGTTTGGCGTCTCCCCATGGACCAAACGATTCTTTTTGGGGGATCGCCAGACGTTTAAACGCGTTTAGTGTTTTGAACGTTTAAAAGCGGCGACTTTAGGAAGGCTTGGAAACTCCGTGCAGCGTGTGAGCCCCGTGTTTTAATTGTACTACAATGTCCCAGACCGTCTGCGTGGAAAACTTAAAGGCATGCTGCATATTGAGTGCTGCGAACGCGCTGAGAGCGAGCTGAGACAGATGGACACAAGCCCGACAGCACACTGGGTAAGTCTAGCAACTAGGATCTGTGTCACATTGCTGCTTGTTTTTGTTTTCTTTAATAAAGCCACTAAGAGCTAAAAATTGCCAAATAGGTTTGAAGCCATTGCGAGCAAAACCATATAAATACTGAACACACAGTGGATCCAAGTCTGTTATAATAAAAGCATAGTCTATCCCCCCATTTTTTCTGTTTCATACAGTGACAAACTTCTCCAATGTATTTCTAATATCCCATTGGTTTCCCTATAGGGGGTAGTAAGGGTATACAGAGGCTAATGGTTCTCAATTAATGTTTTCATAATGTCCTGGTGGTATTTTCTATTTATTTGTCGTAATGTAATTGTAAAGTCCTATAATGTTCCTGATAGGACTCTGAGTTCTTCCAGAAGTGTTCTTGTGGAACTTAACGTTATAATATGTAATATGGTATTACACTACTGCTATGTGGAGCATTACAGGAGTAATATAGGCTGTTCCCTTTCATTTAGGGATATCTCCTTCTTGCATATTAAATGCGCTCCTGTCACCACCTTTGCTTTATGTGCAGGCTTTTGACTCCCAACACTGCTCTACTTTAAATTTGATCAAATTTGTGTGAGAGCTGCTCCCCCTCATCAGACAAACCAGAACATTCTCCATGGATGATTGGATCTGCCTGTCAATATTTAAGTAAAAGACCGTAAGTAGATGAGAAGCTTTTAAAACAGCTATGGTGCTTTTCAGAGACATCCCCCCTCCTCTTACTTTCTTGTATGGATTGTCCATATGTACATGTCACTGCCTCCCTGTGCCGGGATCATTAACCTGTTGATGTGTGGAGAGATGGATGCTCGTGTCTTCCTGCGCAGTAAATTCACGTATCAAAACACGCACCACTGGGCCCTTGAAACCGTAGAGAACAAGCTATAATGAGAGCAGACTGTCGCCGAATATGGCAGCGTGTTCTCCATCATAGGAGTTTTCAACATGTTGTGTATCAGGTTTGCAACCGAATACCACAGCAGCTCATTTCACTCATTAGTCCTCCTCCTCTGTAGCTGAAGGTGAGCTAATGGGAGCAAAGTGTTTGGTGGGCAGAGAACCGGCAGACTCGAGATAGAAAGACACTGCTCTACTTTTTGTTTATGCAGAGGAACATAATGAGAAGGTAAAACAGAGGAAAGAGGAGATGTGACACATTCTTCATGTGTTTGAAAGTAGGCGGCTGTTGTTCTTTTTTGTATTCTGCTGTGATCTCTAAACTCTCTGTCCTAATAACTGTGCCTCCACACAAGCATCGCAGTCTACACTTTCAAGCTCACCATCAAATAGATCCTTTCCCTTCCAGCAATTTATTCAGCCCGTTATCTCCTTCTCCTTGTCTCACACGTTTTTTAAATCCAGCCCTTTGAATCAACTGATTGACGGTGTCAAGCTCGAAGTGCAGGTTTCATTTTCAATTAGAGACTATCACGGCACTTCTGAAACTTCTGACAAGCAGTACTGATGTGAAATGTGATAGACTGAGTATTAAGTACTGAAGTCTCCAGCAGTGGTGCATGCACATAATATATTTTGGGGGAGCCCGTGCAAAAATGAGAACTTTTCCCAGAAAAATTAACTTATACAGACTTAAAGGAACAGACTGTCGGATTCAGTGGCATCTAGTAGTTAAGTTGCATACCTCTCGCCTTACAAGTGTATACAAGAAACTACAGGGGCTTATTAAAAAACATGCCAAGCACACAAAAGGCCCTTTGGAGCCGGTGTTTGGTTTTTTCTGTTCTGGGCTTCTGTAGAAACATGGTGATTCAACATGGCGGACTCTGTAGAAGAGGACCTGCTCCCTCTGTAGATAAATATGGCTAATTCAAAGGTAACGAAAACACAATGATTCTTATTTTCAGGTGATTATACACTAATATAAACATACCTGTGAATATTATATTCCATTTCTGCCAGGGGAATCTATTGGCAGAGATGGATCCTCCTAAATGTCACACCGGACCTTTAGTGGTGCATCAGAGACTTTACTCCGAAAAAACCTGACAGCATCAGTTATTTGAGTGCCCCAAAATGACATTGTTAAAAATAATACAGACAGAAAGCATGGAATGTGATAACTTGCACACTTTACTCTAAATAAGTAAGCCCACTGGCTCTGTAGCCTTAAAACTTGTCCAGTGAAAGCAAATGCTTCCAGTCCACAAAAAGCTTTCTGGAAAATGGCCTGACAGTTTGGCAGGGGGATGCACATTTTACAGAAACTCACATCCTTAGTTAAGCTCTATTCCATGTCCATACACTTCGATGAGAAGCACCTTGACTTTTCGTTCCTGACTGTCTACGGAACCACCTTCAAATCTGGTTGTGAGGAGAGTTCATCAAGTTCACATAAATTGACTGGGAGAAAGAGCTACAGTTAGGTTGTAGCTAGCTCGCTAGCTAGAAGCCATGCTAACCTCATTATGGGTGAAGTGAAGAACCGGGCCGGGCAGACTCGGTCGCTGAAGGCAATAGTGTTAGTTCTTCAACTCTTGGTTGTTGTTGTTGTTGTTGTTGTTGTTTTCTTTTTATAACACATTAGAGAACCGTGTTTAGCTAGTGTTTTAGCATCATCATTACATAGTCTGAAAAACTGGCTAGCTTGCTGGCTGAAGGCAGGACTCTCAGAACAACAGGAACTCATTACATTCCAGAAACTTCCCACAACTTGTTTCAACAGAATACAGAAGACAAATTCAACACAAACATATTTATATTTATATTTATGGTTACAAAATGTATTATGGGAGCACCTTGGTAGCCTAATGGTTACACAGCTGTTTGATTCCAGCTGCTGACCACTCTCATTCTCTCTCCATCATAAAGGCAAAAAACAACAAAACAAACACAAAACAACTTGGCCCCTTATTGGCCTTACATCTGGTTTCCAGTGTGTTAAAATCTCCTAATAACTAATAACCAATTATACAGCACCAAAACTGAACATAGTTCATCTTTAAGCTTTTAAGTTATTGGGCTTTGGGTATAGAAGTCTTGTCTACTTGGATCAACCCATTTAGCCCATTTATAATTCATACTGTAGAAACCAGGCCTCAGTGTTTTGCAATTATATATATTGTGAATTGAATCTGTACTAAAAGCATCTTTTCAAAGAGACAAAATCCGGCTGGTCAACAAACTCATCAGTTTCTGTGACGCAGAATCTAAAATGTGCTCTCCGTCTCAGCACCCACCCCCCCACCCCGACTATAGCTTATGTGATTATGTTGCGACAAGTACTCTTTCCATGATTATCGCAGTTCAAGAGAGATGTTTTGCATCATTCTAGATTATAAAATCGCTTTCTCTCTGCTGATTGCTTCTGCAGGCGATAAACTTAATTGTCCTCATATTTTTGAGTACAGACTGTCACTGACAAAAGTCGCTCTGAGGAGGGCCAATCAGTCTGATTTAGCAGCAGGCCAGGTGATAGTTCAGTGCCATTCAAGATCTCTGTGCCCCAAAATAGACCTCTGCCTCAGGCCTTTTATGAAGATGGAGATTGAGTGGATGTGGGGAGGCAGATGTATCAGTGAGGCATGGGCTGCAGATTTATGCAAAGAGGCATGTAAATTATATTTGCATGAGCAACTGGTGGTAAACAACACAGAGTTCAACAGTACTCCATCATCTTCAGTCACTGTTTCTGAGGAAAGAAGGAAAGAAGCCAATCAACTATTTATTTAAAGACGCACCTTTAACCTCCAGCTTTGTGAAAATGAAACAGGGATAGGTTCCAAAAGCCTCTTGTGTTGAGGATGAAAGGAAAGAACATGACTTCATGTGCTGTACTCACCCCGCTTAATGAGGGTGAGCGGGATGTAAGTGCTTGAAATTAAAGCAGTTTTTTACTCAACATCACATGTAATATGTAAATTGCATTAATGGCCTGGTTTGAAACATTAGGAAATTGTGTGTAAACGTGTAACTTATGTTTGTTTTTTTACTGACTTACTAACATAATATTCAAATTTGGGACCCCTCCCAAGCCGGCTGAATGTAGATATAAGGGCATTGGATAAACTGACCCTGTATTCCAAAAATGTTCTTTTCTAAACTTTCACAAAAATTACTTTCTTAACCTTCAGCGAACAATTGATATTACTTTTACATTTTTGTCGGTCTGTGCTCCCTCAGAAACAGTCCAAAAATACATAACTGTGGGCACACAGGTATTTCAGAAAGGATCATTTTAAATAGGACATTCGCTGCATTTTTAAAAATAACTGCTATCGGCCCAACATGAAGAAGTAATATTCATATATAGATGCATAATCCACTTGTTTTGCAAAACTCTGAACCTGCATGAGGTAGACTGAATTGAAGCTGTGAGATTTAAAGAATCTACACCCCAACAGCCAACCTACACAGGTGTTTTTACCTATTTTGCCTGAAGAGATGTCTTCTCAGGACTGTGCAGATTGTGCTGCTGATTGACGTCTTCCTCACTCTCCTGTTGCACCCATTGATGCATGATTTAGAAACTGGCAACGACACGGCCGCTCAGCCTTGCTTCCAATTTGAGGTGTCTGTAAAACAGTTGGACACCCCAAACTGCAAAGGTCAATTATGACTCTTTTTATCTTGAACTATTGATCCATGGAGGTTTCATCTTTGTATAATTTCCTTCGAGCTGAGAAAAGCAATTTAATAATCTGTGACACCATCACAATGTAAAGTTTATGGGTTGAGCGGGAACTCGCGGCTGGGGAGGAACATATTCCATTGGCCAAATACCCAGGAAGTAAACCCGGAAGCTAGAAAAAAAAAGTCATATGCACCAGGCGGGCAATTTTCAATGGACTCAAAAGGCGCCATCTTTGTATCCGGTATCCAGTTCTAAGTACATGTCTGTGCATTCTTTTTCCGCATCAATATCTGGTGCCGACATTACCCACAATGCAATTCGACCACCGATAGTTTGGTCAGAGATTCAGGTGTGTTATGATAGTAGCTGTTAAAGTAGCCTCAATTCGCTATAAGCAGAGGAGCGGGCCCCAGATTTTTTTCATTTTCAAACTTTCAGCCCCAATCAAAGCTGACCGTGTGACATCACTTGAGGTCATTTAACAGACTTTGTATAGTTTCCTGTAGTGCCCTTTTAAGTACAAACCCCTTAAAAGCACAGATTCTGACATTCTTTGATACACATTTGAGATAAATATGAAGCTATAGCGCAGAGACATAGCTTAGCTTCACATAAAAGCTGAAGGCAGGGGAAACAGGTAGCCTGGCTCAGTCCTAAGATTAAAACAATCTGCCTTCCAGCACTTCTAAAGCTAACACTAACAGCCTTGTGTTAGGCCAAGAAATAGTCCAACCAAGACTTTAGTTTTTGTATGGATTAAACAAATTAGCTATAAGGAGTTGGTGAGCTTTAGAAGTGCTGGTAGACATATTTTGTTACCTTTGGACCGAGCCAGAGCAGCTGTTTCCCCCTGATCCAGTCTTTATGCAAAGCTAAGTTAACCATCTACTGGCTGTAGCTAATTCCTCTTATCTAACTCTCAGCAAGAAAGTTAATTAAAAAGAAAAGTCACAAAACATTCTTTCCTTTCTTTTAATGAATACTAAACATACAAAAGCAAACATACATACATGTAAGATTTCAATGAGTCACTAAGCCTTATTTGACATTTTGCTCCTTTGTAGAGCTTCTCCTATATAACTTATATATATAACTCCTAAAACCACCCCTGGGCGCAGTGTCATGCTCAATAAACTGCTCCTGCCAGAAGCACTTTGCTGAGTCGCTGTAGAGGTGCTGCTCTCTGACCGCCTCCCTCGGAGAAAGCGGCCTGTTTCAAAATGATTGGCCGCACAATAGAAGAGCAAACTCTGAGGATAGCTAGAGGGGTCCTACTCTTAATTTGTTGTGATCATGCACCCAGCCACCGTACATCAACTCTACTGCCTTAGGTCCAGCACAGTCATTCTTAGTGAGGATCACCGGCATGTTGCTGTACTTGCAGACTGTGTTCTCTGGATTGTGGACCCAGATGCCTATGTTAAGAAATGTCTCAGTTTAAGACAGAATGGCTTCAGAAATGTGTAATTGAAACTAAATAGCTTTTTTCAGAGGATGTGAAAAGAGTCAATCTACACAGACTGATTTTACTGTTTGATCAGAGAGTGATGATTCAGCAAACACAGCAGGCAGTCAGACATTGCATGATGAAGTCAAAAACTTGGTCTAGACCACTGTAGAACTCTGCTGTTTTCTTAATCTTAATTCTGAAAATACATTATATTACTGTGTCGGTAACAACTGAGAAATGTCTCCAAATGTCAGACTTTTTGCAGACAAACCTGCTTTAATCTTCTTTACAACTTCATTTGTTGACTCTGTCTCCATCCTTGGTGCAAGCTACGTCCCGGGACCCTCGGTTTATTTTTTTACCGCCTGCTCCCACCCGCAGCAAAGTCAAAGCAACCTGCTCCCGCAAGATTTGAGTTGGGTCCCATGAGACCCAGGATCCCAATCCTAATGCAGTTCTCTTGACCATGGCACCCATTCAAATTTTTTGACATGGCATCCAGACATGCCACCCAACCTGAAATAAAACCAAAAAAAAAAAAACATTATAACAGATGCTTATCAGTTTTAACAATTTTATATTGTATATTTTATATTTTATTATATTATAATATATCAAGGCCCATTCTAAATCACTCTAACTCTAAATCCAATTAAATATGCTAATATGTTACATGTATTTCTTTCCTGGTTTTGTTCCAAATTAAAACTAGCTTGTATTTATAGTGTACAAGGACAAACAAACAAAACAAAACAAAAAGCATTTTAATGGGACATGTGTGCCTACTGTTCATGTGGGGAGAGAGAGCACAACCAACTGACAGGGATGAGAGCCCCACATCACACATATATGATATTGGGAATGCACAATACCACAGTGAATGCTGTATTGGACAACAATCTGTCTTCTACAACCAGTTAAAACCTCTATGTTAAGCCACTTGCTGAGCAGTTTTAAGTCTGATTTTAGTTTTGTTGATCAGCTCCAATTATTTCATCTCAGACTGTTTTGAGGAAAGCGTGTTGAGTTACTATGACAACTGGCAACCGTGAGTTGTCATGCCATTAGCAGCAGCATAACTGCATAATAAACAGAGTTTTTAATATGGTAATTTCGAGATGTATGGCTTTTTTTCTTTCTTTGTTATTTTGTAAAATTAATGTAAATGTCGATTTCTTAACGTGGTGAAATGTCATTAAAAGCTCATATAATATAACAATTCCTCAATGCACCACAGGGTGCCCTGGCACCCACTTGGGAACCACTGTTCTGGAGGAGCATGTAAACCCATCTTAAAATCACCAACTCAACATTACAAGCTTTCAACATGGGAAAGGCAAAATCATCTATGGAAGTCATTCATAAAAAGAATAAATATATGAGTGTACAGTGTGATCAGTTGTTTCTACGGTATTTCTTCCTCTTTTATTTCACTCTGACACTACCATTAAGTGCATCCAAGGGGAAATAATTTTCATTATCCTGTGAAGTTTCTCCCTTTCTCCTTGTGCTATCTCCTTGTGTCTTTTATACATTTTCTTAAGTGGCTGTTCGTCTGCCTGAAAGGTTGCCCGCTAACAACAAAAGTACATAAATCACACAGAAAACGTCAAACTCATTGTCCTTTATCACATAAATACTTACAGATCTCGGTCACTTACAGAAAATATGAAACAGCCTCACCATATAGTTGGAAAGGCTTATAATAGTTGTCCTTTTTGTCCTCAGAATATAGACTATTTTTCATGTTGACAGGACAGCCTGGTTTTAAAATTACATCTTTACAGAAGCTGTGTGTTCTTATATAATGAAAAATAAATAAAGCATAACCACATATATTAAACACTGAACACATGTTTACTTCACATGTGATTATATTTGGCTCATTGTGCTGTGATAAGGTCTACATTGTCGTGTTGATTTCCCTCAATTTCTTATGCAGTGCTTTAAATGGTCTCATTCCAGAGTTTGGTGATGCAGTAAATAGAAAAACAACATTATTCATTTCTCTCATTTGGTTCAGCCGCGACTTGATATTGAGTTGCTTTCCTTTGAGCTTCCATTGTAATTAGACTCCAGAGAAGTTGTAGAGAAGCTGACTGTTTTGACTTGCGGCTCTCCTTTAACAGGTTCTGTGGATCACTTTACTACAGTGTACAGGCAAAAGTGTTTGTAATTGTTTGGAATGACCACAGTCGGGATAAGGCAAGACAAAAAGCTTCTGATTTAAATGTATGCTCAGACCCTACAAAGTGGCAAAATAAATCTGTATAAAATATTTGGTTCTAGGGCCTTGGTAACCTTGCAAGGCAGCTGGACTCGCAAGATCACAAGATCATGCAAGAATCTATATTGCCAAGCTATGCACTTGCACTATGGCACCGGACCAATTAGAGTCCTTTGAGTAACTACTGGCAATGGCATGAGGTCCAGGTGTGGTTCAATGCTAGTTGTGTGTGAAGACGTGAGTGAAGAGACTGTCGAAAACAACAATGGCGGCTGCAAAACAGGTTAGCATTGATGCTGCTTGCATCCGTCATATCAGATCTGGAGAGCCTTTTTTCATTCAAAGAAGAGCAAAGAATGGCACTGGAGGATTTTCTTGATGGAAAAGATGTGTTTTGCTCTTTTCCCGACTGGCTTCGTTGTATGGTTCGTTGATCTGATTGGTAAATGTGATAGATAGATCCAATAACCTGACAGATATTTTTTGAAAGTGCCTGCCCTTTTCCAAACAGTTTACAATGACAACTTCCATGATGGTTCTGTGTTCTGTGGCGCAGTCAGGTTAGGGGTGAGCTGTCAGTTGGAAAGCTCTTAAGCTTGGTTGCAAAGATAAGATAAGACAAGATGTTCACACAGTTTATTACCATTAGTACCATTGAGCCTATCTATTCTGCATTTGTGGAGCAGTTTATACTCTGGTCAAATAAAAGAGTCATGGTGCAACAAGACTAATATGCAACACTCCCTCTATTCTGGACTCTCCGTTCCCTCAAAGTTCAGCACTATCGAGGAGGCATCTCCATGAGCACATGCACTAGGCGATTCAATTGGAATTAATTATATTATGCTGTTTTATTGCTGACCAACATTGTGGTCTGGAAGTAAGAGAGGAGCAATGATCATACTAATGGGGATAATGGTGGCAGTCTTTCCTCAAAGGCTTTCTGGATTTTGTACTTGTTTTCACCCATGAAACAAAAGTAGAGCTTGAGAGCCCTTCTTACTTTCTCACTTTCATACAGCTGTTAATCGCTTTGTAAAAGGGGCAGGAATTGTTGATTACTGAAAGTCACAGAAATTGCTTCCATTTCTGATGTTGGAAAGATCAGATGTTCTTCAACCATCCAACAAGCACTTTGCTTGAAGCATACGGACGCCTTTAGACCTTTCATGGACTGACTTGTTTTGAATATTTGATAGAATAGAGTGAGAGGCTCTGTACTTCTTAGTGTGAAGACACTGAATAAATATAACTCTTGACTTCTCTTTTTTTGTTCAACAGAGACATGATGTATTGCTGAATGGGTGACAAACTCCCTGTCACCTCACATACCCTGTAAAGTCCCCCTCCCATCGCATTGTTCAGGACAGGGTCCCCCAGCATAGTGGCAGTAATGTACCAGGAGGTGGCCTTCCTGGCAGGCAGCACAGAGCACCAATTCACATCGTTTCGCTTCAACCGAGTGGAGAACCCGCAGGAGGTCACCTCCAAGAAGGGTTTGTTCTACAAGCGAGCCCAGCTCCTGCTTCAGCCTCAGCCTCGCCAACAGGACGGAGATGAGATCGGCCTGGCTGATGGGGCGGCCATTATTAATGTGGGGGGGATTAAGTACCGCATCCCCTGGTCCACACTGGAAGAGTTCCCCCTGACACGGCTTGGTAAGCTTCGCAGCTGCAGCAACGAGGCCGAGATCATGGACGTGTGCGACGACTACGACGGCAGTCGCAATGAGTATTTCTTTGACCGAAGTCCGTCAGCTTTTCGCACAATTGTCACTTTCTTAGCGGCGGGGAAGCTGCGGCTGCTGAGGGAGATGTGCGCCCTTTCCTTCCAGGAGGAGCTGCTGTACTGGGGGGTGGAGGAGAACAACCTGGATTGGTGCTGCCTCAGGAAGCTGCGGCTCAGGCAGGAGGAGTACAAGGAGCAGCAGAGGCTAGAGGAGGAGGATGCAGAGCTCACCTCACCGCAGTCCTGCGAGGAGAGCCAGCAGCCACCCGGAGTGGGGTTGCAGGAAGAGACCAATACAGGGGGCTGCATGCGAAGACTTAGGGACATGGTAGAGAACCCCCACTCTGGCCTGCCAGGGAAGATCTTCGCCTGTCTGTCAGTGATATTTGTTGCCATCACCGCTGTGACGCTGTGTGTCAGCACCATGCCAGACCTCAGAGAGGAGGAGGAGAGGGTGAGTTCACGCTGCACTTATCAGTTTCAGTAATAACTTTTTTCTTTGCCTTTCTTATTCACAGATTCAATTAAAATTTAAATTATCCAAAAGGTCCAAGCTCCTATCGACAATTACTGTACTGAAATCATTTTATTCAACAAAAGCAGAAACAGTATCATTCAGCAATCATGGTCAGTCACACAAAACTTCCAAAGCAAGGCATCCCTGAATTTTGAAGGTAAGACATCATCACATGCTAAACAGATTTCCATGCTGAACACCATAGTTATGGCATTATACAACTAACATAACCATAAACTGAAGGACCTCCAGTCTCAGGAATCCTTTTTTTTCCCCTTTTAACAGCCTTAGGGATGTGAATGCTTTACAGCTGCTACAGTAGAATTCAGATTATGTTGATGCAGCAGCCCACATACAGAGTCTTCCTGGGCTTTATTGTAAATCATCATGACAGAGACAGAGGCGAAGGCTCAGGGACAACAAGGCTTCCTCTCCATTCACTTGAATACCAGATTACTGTGTAGCCGCTCACTGTCTCTGCAGCATACATTCCTTCATAGCAACATGAGATCCATGTTCTCCCAAATGTCTGTAAATACACAACACCAAGATGAGTAAAAAGGCCGTATATTCACAATCTTTAAATGGATAGTCTTTTTGGGTTTTAGGCTTCGGTTCTGTATTTCCAAAATCCCACAGATATTCTCCCCATGCAGCTTCACTTGACCTGCTTTCAAAAATGAATATGAAATAAGCTAAAATGAATATGAAATAAGCTCATTATTGTTATATAACATGATGATTATGCAAATTGTGACCATGAAGTCTTAATCTGTACAGTTAAAGGCTTGTTTATCCAAACATTATCTAGACCAGCTGACCAGCAAACAAATTAGGAGCTTTAAATGGAAAACACATTGATTTATACTGTGTGTCATGTTCACTTTGATGCTTCATTTAAGATGAATTTAAACTTCTATGTAGACTGTACATGGCATTTTAGAAAGAGAAAATGTATTACTCCTGAAGGGGAAATAGGGGACAGTTAAACATTTTGGGAAATACGAATATTCTCTTTCTTTCTGAGAGTTAATATCAATCTCATGTCTATGCGTTAGCGGGCATGTTTAGCTTAGCACAATGACTGGAAACCAAGCCCCCTGAAAAGCACCACTTTGACATTGTGGCCAAACTGTGTAAGGTTTTAAAGGAAGTTTTGTTCTAAGAACTGTTTCTTGGCAAACCATAGCTGGGTGCAGTGACTGCTCGACTATTTTCAGTGGAAAATGGCTATAGTCCGCTCATAAAGTCACTGGAAATTGCCACATGCTAATTTGCATACACATGATGTCATTATGCCACAATTTGCTTGCCTATGAAAGATTCTGTCATTAGCATCCCATATATATGTATATATATTCATCTAAATCCTCCTCTAAAATTACAAACCATTTTATGCAGGTTACTGAATAAACTAACTCTCATAAAATAAATAAAATATTAAATCAAATTAAATTAAATGATTTCATCTTGAACAAAAACAATGGAGGAAGAGTTCTGCAGGCAAACAATGGGGATTAATGATTGTTTGTTTGGAAGCATGATATGCACATTCACAGCTCATTTAGCTTGCTTGGTTCGTCACTTGGCTCTTTTTTGAGGCAAAGTTACAATAAGGGTCTTTGAAAATAGTTAAGTTGGCAACAGCTGGCAGAATTCTTGCAGTATTTAAAACATTCACAAACCCCGCCCCCTCCATGTTAGCAACCCAATCACTAGTGTGCAGCGCCCATACCTGTGGTATTTTGGCTTCAGTTTGTAAAGTGGGAGGAAGTGGAGATCCATAGTCCTTTGTGAGTATCTAGCAGTGGTCCTGACTCTAGCTCTGTACTTAAGGCACAGACATGAGATTGGTATCAATCTATTCAAGTGTATTTCCCAAAATGGTTAACTATTTCTTTAATTACAATACACCCAAAAGAATATGAATATGATTATAGCAAGTAATGTGTTGGCAATTAAAAAAAAAACATGAAGGCTGATGATAAGGTGCAGCCTGATGTAGAAATGTCTAAATAAATGAGAATACTCATAACTTACAGTCTCTGGTCTCTAATTAGGTCTGAAAGTGAGAGCACATCCACTTGTTGCTGCGTTTAGCTTTGATCTTACAGCAAGAGAAATCTTTCTACCTGGGGCTTTTGTTCCAACTAACTACACATGTTGCCACAGTCTGTGACAAAAGGAGCAAAAGAGCATATTAAAGCTGACAATGTCTTCCTCCTGAACCTTTTCATGTCCGCCCTTGCCTCAGAGACTTCAGAAAGCCTTGGCGATCTGGCTCCAAAGCGTCTTTGTATTACGCTAATTCACCTCTTGAATGACATCAGCAGACCATAGTATGATTAAAGAAGAGCCCCGCAGCTTCTCCTTCTGTCAAAGATACATCTTCATCAGCAGGCTGGGAGGGGGGTGTTAGCATCAAGTGCGTAAGCTTCAAAGGGAGAATCCATCAGGAAAACAAAGTGGGTAAAAACTGAACAAAGACCAGCTTAAACATAGTCCTTTTCTATCTCTAATTAAGTGTCATCTATCATTACATGCCTGTATGAATCTGCAGCTTTAATTATTTGAATCGGAAGAGCAACAGGTGTGATTAGAGAGGCACTATGTTTCAAATTCCGGACAGCTAAAAACAGCGTCGCTGTAGCACCAATTAACCACCCAGAGATGCCTGAAAAAGAGAGTCCTCCTCTGTGAATGAGGAGTTCATTAGGAGCGAGAACTAAACCTGAACCAGCCATGGGAGGCAACCCCAAAAACGCAAGGGTTTATGGGTATAATGAGGCGGCTGTTACTCTTGTAAGACCTATAACCAAGGAAGGCAAACCGCAATCTGACACTTCTTCGCACATTCTAACCGCCAAAACACTAGAGACATTAAATAAAACATGCCATCTACAGAGTCTGTTAATATGAGGTGACATTACTAAAGAAACATAACTTTGTCTTAAAAGTATCGTGAGTCCCCTTTTTTATAACCGCTGGCAATAGATAGGCAATAGATGTAGAATACCACAAAATATTCTTATTCTAAAAAAAGACAATATTCCTACTGAGGTCTTTACATGGCTAATGAAAGATTAATATTCCACTAATACTCCTGTTTACATTCAGCTGTGCATACTCCAATTAACTTAACTGTTAATAACGCACTGTACGTCCTATGGATCAATTTTCCTCCTTTTCCTTCCCCTTCCCTTCTTTTCAAACTGCAGTCATGTTGCTCCCGTGGTAAAAGTAGAACAGCTTGAGCCATTCAGCCTTCTTCTTACGTTCAGCCACCTTCTTGTAAAGGTTTGCCTTGCAATATTTGCTTATTTCCAAAAAGTGAGTTATGAGTTTTTCATAACGTGTAAAAGACCCTTCCGATCAGAATTGTGGGCTTTCCTTTTGGGGCATGCATCACTACTTCCAGCCTTGTAAACTGTTAGCTAGGCTTTTTCACAAAGCACAGAGCTGACCGGTAACAGGCAACAAGCTGAGTGTAGCAAACTGCAGTAAAAACCCCACATGAGACGCATATTCAAAAATGTTTACATGTCCAAAGAATGCTCTTGAAACCTGAATAACATCGGCATATCCCACGTCTTAAACAGAAATTGCTCCATTCGGAATAAGGCCTAATTAGGAATATTCAAATGGAATATGGTGTTTAATTCAATTCAATTCAATTCAATTCAATTCAATTTTATTTGTATAGCGCCAATTCATAACAGAAGTTATCTCAGGACACTTTTCAAATAGAGCAGGTCTAGACCGAACTCTTTAAAACATGAATTACAGAGACCCAACAGTACCACCATGAGCAAGCACTTGGCGACAAGGGCAAGGAAAAACTGCCTATTAAAAGGCAGAAACCTCGGACAGATCCTCCGGCTCTAGGTCGTCTGTCTCGACCAGTTGGGGTGAGAGAGAGAGAGAGAGAGAGAGAGAGAGAGAGAGAGGCAGAGAGAGAGAGAGAGCCAGAGACAGACAGACAGGTGCACAGCAACAACAGTATTGGCAATGGCAATCTAGCAGGACCATGGCAGGAGGCTCCACCAGGATCGACAAGAACCTGCGAGATGAGAAAGCACAAGAACTCCGGGGAAGAAGTGAAGTTAGTAACATGCATTAATGGAACATGAATGAGTGCAGAAAGAGAGAGGAAGGGAGGAGCTCAGTGCACCATGGGAAATCCCCCGATAGTCTAGGCCTATAGCAGCATAACTAAGGGATGGTTCAGGACTCACCTGATCCAGCCCTAACTATAAGCTTTATCGAAGAGGAATGTCTTAAGCCTACTCTTGAATGTGGTGAGGGTGTCTGCCTCCCAAACCACAACTGGAAGCTGGTTCCACAGGAGAGGAGCTTGGTAACTGAAGGCTCTGGCTCCTGTTCTACTTTTAGAGACTATAGGAACCACAAGTAGCCCTGCATTCAGAGAACGTAGTGGTCTAGAGGGGTAATAGGGTACTATGAGCTCTTTAAGATATACACAGTTTACAAGACCCTTCCCATCAAATGTGGAAAATTGTTATATTCTGAATATTAGTGCATACTTAGTGTGCATGTAAACTTCTCTCACAGTGGTTCAAGAAGAAAACTAAAGGTATGATTGCTCCCTATGATTCCCTACTTATATGCTCTCAGCAGTCATGGTGTATTCCGACGTGTCAGACTGGCTGTGGAGCGTTTCCTCTCTTCCTTACCATGTTAGGAGAAGAGTTTGGCCTTGCTCTGAAAACGTATGTGCTCTGTGAGTGGGTTTTGCTTCCTGTATTGTCCTCATTCACACTAATGTCAAGCAAAGCATTTCAGTAGCTGAACACTGATGAATCAGCTCAACTTGGTGAATTGCTTTTGCTAATTACCACATCTCTTTCAGTGGAGTCCGCCCACTCATCCTCCTCCATTACACTGCTTCCTAATATCCATTAGCTGTGATAGCTAGC